CGTGATGTTCCCCGATCTTTCTAGAACTTATTACGTGTTACCAGCCTCACGTGACTTCCGCTGTCGTAACAATATTAACTGAGTTTTTTAGTAAATAATGTAGGAAGTTCCTTGTCAATGGAGGAGCAAGCTAATTCTGAGGAAAATACATAATATCAAAGACACGGTTGGACTATGTCACGATACTGAATACTAGATTCTATTTATCTGGTCAACGAGTTTTTGTTTAGCCAAAATCCTAGGGATTAGATTGTTCTTTAAAAATTTTCGAATGAGATATGTAATACTCGATGTTTGTTTCTTCGCCAGTTTTTCTGAATGATGGTAGAGTTAATTCAAATATAATAATAATAATTAATAATCAGTATCAAAAATAAAACAATAATATTATGTTATTAATTTGTAAAATGATTCACATAAGACTGATCATAATTACTATTCACTTATTTAATCTAGTTCACACCATAACAGTTATTGTTCATGAAACTGGTGATATAAATAGCGCCTGGATTATTATTATGTCTGTAGCATCCCCACTGGCCTGATGAGCCCTGGTATTGGGCGAAAGTAAATATGGTAGATGTAGTATAGTTGACATGTTACTACATATTTTTCCTTGCTTTCACCATAATTCCTTAGAATTTGCCATTCTTGCACTTGAACCACACTAGCTGACAATGAGACTTGAATTCACATTGAGCAGTTCTTGTAATATTTACATCTGGCTTTTCTGTAAGCAATCATTCGTAAGGTTTACATGATCTGTGTTAGTTTTCTCAAATATACGTTAAACCTGCATGCTTCACAGAAGCATGTCCTTATGAATACATAATAGCAAGCTATGTAATGATAATTAAACAAATAAAACACAAAACAGCAATCAGGAGGAGAAACTAAAGGAAGAAAACACACACAAAAAAGTAAAATCAGTAATACGAACATATTAAAAAATGTATAATTTAAATGAAGACTGAACATTTTTCAGTGTTGGAGAATGGTGTTTGATATGTAGGGTTTCTTTAATCAATAATTCCAGGTCAGTATTAGACTTCCAGAGGATAGAAAAATTTGATAGCATAGGTTGATGTCCTGTTTCTTCACTATGTTGGCGTAGAGAAGAGACACAGGGGTTACTCAATATTTTTTTGCGTTTTGATGTAAATTCCCATATGTTCATAGGTTCTGACTTTTAAATGGCGTTTGGTTTTGCCAATATAGGAGGCCTTACAGTCTCCACACGTGTAAAGATAGACAAGCCAGGAACTAATAAGGAATGGGGAGGAGATCTTTAGTAGGGAAAAAAATTTATGCGTGATGTGGATTTAAAAACTAATCTGAAATCCACTTTAGGGTAGTAACGACCAAGTATGCGTTTAAGTTGATTTTTGAAAGTTAAACTTTGTTTACCAGTATAGTGAAGACACGAGTATATAGTAAGTTTGGGTACAGTTGGTATCTTAATTGAATTTGTGAGTTTCTTTGTTAGGAATGTGTTGGTAATGTTTTCTAATAAGTGTTGTGGGTAGCAGTTATGTTTCAGGATATCATGTAAGAACGAAGTCTCAGAGTGTAGATTAAGATACGTGAAGCACAGGCTGTAAGCTCTGTTTAGTAAGCATGTAACAAGGTTTCGTTTATACGTAAACGGGATAATGCTATCAAAGTGTGTTAGGAGACCAGTGGACGTCTTTTTTCGGTAAATTGATGTGGAAAATCTATTAGCATTACCGTTAATGAGCGTTGTTACGTACTGACAATTTAAAATAGTCCGAAGCCGATATTTTAGTTAGTTTACGCTATTTGCCAACAAGATTGACACACACACATACCATTTTAGTTTTTCACACAAATACGTTTTAATATATATATATACAACAGTACAATTTACAACAATAATTATTACGAATAATTACCACAAACAATGTTTTATAAACAACAATTTCACTAACTTACAAACAACATAGAATCTTCTTTCTAGTTCAGAATCTCCTTGATATCCAGCAAGTTAAATTGAAGTCGATGTACGTACAATTGCCGAGAAGCTAGCTGGCTTTGTCAGACACTGAATTGTTGGGCCGTTGAAGTAAGATAATATTTTCATAAAACCATTAATGTCCGATGAGAATTCAGTAATACTTTCGGAGAGATACTTACGTCCGAAGAGAATCCATTGACGTTCGAAATTTATAACTGTTCCTGGTCAAATGTCGTAAATTTTCCGGTTGATAAAGGTTAGCAAAATCACGGTTTATAGACCAATTGATAGCACACTGTTATAGCAAGTTCCTAGCCAACTTTTTTAAGCTCCCCTTTTTTTGGCACGTCTTCTTTTATAGGCGCGAGAAAGATTTTCTCAAAAATTCCGACAACATTACTAAGCTAGATTTAACCGGTTATGGAAGTGGATATATTGTCGATTCTTAAGCTCACGAATATTCTGCAACCTTGGAGAATTGGCGTAACTAACACTGTAAGCTAGGCACGCTTTTAAATATAAACTCAATCCAAACAAACGTTGTCATTAAAATAAATATATAACAAATTCGTTACACGCAATACCTATCCAACGCTATAAGTTACGCATATTTTTAAATACAAACTTAATCTAAACAACATTCACATTAAAAATAAATACATGACAACAAATTCATTACAGCGTATCTAAAAAACCTAAATTATTATTATTTTCAACCTCACATGTAGATTTAATGTAATCGAAAGTCGTCCAAACATGTATTTTAACTCCACCTGAGAGCGTTTTTTCTAGGTACGACATTAAGTGTTTATATAATTTTTCAATGTAATAATATTAATAATTGTACTTGAAATAAAAGTAGACAGAAATAAGCTCATAAGTTCTTTGGTGGTGATGTTTCACGCAGCTCAATCATTTTATTTATACTCCTGAGTCCTAACATTTTGTTATAACGAGTAGCTTTTTTTTTATCAGCGACATAGAGACTTAAAGGAGATAGTGGCGGCCCTTCACTTCTAAATTTAGCACCTCTTCACTGCCAGTTATTACTTATTAATTATACATTGCTAACATTTTGTAAACCTTGTATTGTGTTTAATAAAATTTGTAATTTATCGTGCCCTGGTATTAACATGGTTGTTTGGTATATAACATGAATAACTTTGCTGTTGTGTTTTTTTAACTTAAATGATGTATAAAATTAAACATCTTCCATCTTAAAATATATATACTATTTTTTTGTCAATTGGTGTTATTTTAGGACCTTGAGAAAGTAAGTTGAATTGTTCCAGGTATACAAACATTACAAATTTTGAAAGAACAGACGTAAATCCGTACAATATAATTGTTATTAAGATCATTATTATTTTTTATTGATGCCATTTACTTGTGTCTACAGTACGATGCTTACAAACATATAATAACTAATTTATCAAATATATCTGGGTTCTATCGTACAGACTAATAAGAAAGAGTTATGACAAGTCATAACACCAAATATCAACTTCGAATAGTTAGTAATATCATTCAACGTATACAATTCCAATTTTCTATATTACCGATATTTTCTCTCTATTAAAACATTATGTAGGAAATAACTGTGTCTAATATTCAGAATATACTGAAAATATGAGAGTAGTTATTTAGCTAAAAAAGTATAAAATATAAATAGGCATAGGTTAGGAATACGATAATTTATGCACAGTCATTTACGAATTAGTCGTAAAAACAAGTGAGTACTTTGAACTGGACTCAAAATTTAATACACAGAATGTTTATGTTACTTAGTACGTTTAATTAACTATTACGCAAATAATTATACCTTAAATATTCAAATATACTATTAGCTTTTGTAAACGAACAATACTGATGTTAAAAACAACAAGAAAAATGCCCTTTTACAAAATAAAACATTTAAATGGCATGCAAAGCTACCAAACAAATCCTAGAAATAAGACTTACTTTAACTGTTTCTTTTTGAGAAACAGAACCTGTATTGGCAAAATCGCCATTTCATTATGAGACTTGACGCAAACTAAAATTAATCATGGTATTCACTTTTTGTTGTTAGAGGGCAGCACAATGCGTGAAAATGAAGTACCACAAGGATTGATTCCAGCCGGTGGGCGCTTAGTTCCCTTACTTGAGCTCAAGGTAGAAAAGTGGAGTCGTAGTCTAGAAAGAAGCGAAAAATGAAGTTCAAAACTTATTTTCTCGGGTATTTTAGTATTTGTTTATATATTTCTAAACTTGGTAAGGATATCTGAAGAAGACTCAACTTCAAGTAAAGTAGATTAATTTACTTTTATATTACAAATAAACCTAAAATAAAAACAGTCAATTATTCAATAAATTTTTAGTTTTATCACTTTCCGGCGAAAGCCTGTGGCTATCGTTTACCCTAGTATTAGTAATACCACTATCAGCTGAGCAGAGAGGCTGAATTGACTCTAAGAGGCGTCTGTGCATGTGTTCAGTGTTAATATATCTAAAACTGAAAGTTAATATCGTGGCATGAACGATGTCAAAATTTGAGTTTAATGCTAGCACGGTTGAGGCCTAAATGAATAAAATACTGGTGCTTTCAGACGATTTAAACAATATCTAGGTTATTTATTGCATTCGAAAGTGCTCATTTTAAAATAACAGGCAGGTTGACTGTATTCGAAAAAAAAATGGCGCTCCCTCAACATACTATCAACTGTAGTCTGGATGATATCGATTTAAATAGTCTGAAGGTAAGTTGAAAGTATCAGTCGTTATAAATATTTACAAGAAAAGAAAAAGCATTATTTTGTGAGTGGTGTCCCTTTTCTTCTTCTTCTGTTGTTGTTAAGTAAACGTATTCATAAAGGCCACAAATATTAACCTTAATTTAGATCTTAGAAGACTAGCGGATGTACCCGTGTGATATACGATGAGAGGTTTTTGAAAGTTAAATCATTTATATGATTCATTTATTGATTTTATAAAGAAGAGTCATTATTTCGTTTTCTCTATGACTACATCTTTACTGGGGTTTGTGGCTGTGTATGCAGAAACCTACCCAAGTTTGTATGTAGATGTTACTATTTTTATGTACATTGAGGAGATATCTCCATTTACAATAATTTCATTTAGAGATGCATTTGATTTGTCTGTGATGGTTAATAGTACTTCATTAATGAAAGGAAAACCACTTATACATTCTTTGTTAACTGCTCATAGCAAGTTATGTAGTAATAAATTTACATTCAATATGGAAGAAATTATTTCAATACAAAGTAAACCAAGTAACTTGTATTTCATGGAACATAATATTGTGCTTAAATAATTAAATTTTGAATTTTTATAACCAGTGATAAGTTGTGAATAGCTGTCCATGAAAAACTTCCACATTGGAGGAAATCATTTTCATTAGACTCCACAACCTTTTTTCTTTCAGTTGTCCTTTCTATTTTTGATAAGCTTCTCTTGCTACTTTCTTTGGTATGATCACACACACTGATTAACATGTAAAATACAAAAAAAGAATAATGTGTATATTTAGGTGTCTTATAATAAAGCACACCCTGTTGATAAGTGTTGTTAATGTTATGAGGTGTTTAATATCAATAAATATTAAATCCCTAAAATGATTAATGAGATTTGGAAATGAAATTTAACAATTTTGAATATGAAAGTATATTTGTTTTTTCTGCAAAATGCCAGTGGCAATACAATATTTTTTTAACAAGTAATAAATAATGGAACTAAAAACGTCATAATGTAATATAATTAAGTGTGTGTATCTTGAAGTTGAAAGTATTTATAAATGATGTTTAAAAAAGAAACCCCTTAAATGATTGATGGGAGTTGAAAATGCAATGCAATTGTAGCATGAGTGTGTTAGCAGTTATGAAGGTAAATTGTTTTTGTCCTAAATAACTCGGTACATATATATATATATATATATATACCCCATATAATGAAAGAGGAAACTCCAGAAATCCCATCAGTACCCCTAGTGGCCATTCCTATTGACTTATCTGTATTTAGCGACAACTGGAGCTATGACATCTGTTAATTTAAAAAACAAATAACTTCTTTACACATCCTGAATAATTTCTAGTTCTTTAAACCATATTTGTTGAGTCCAATTGCAAAAACCTAGGAGGAGTTAGAGAATAAACAAACTTCTCTGAAGTTATTGTAGGATGTGTTTCAACTTGGAAAGGAAAAACTGGTTATGTTCTCAGAATGACATATTTAAGAACTGATTGAAGGTAACAGAACTATACAACATTTTAAACTCAAAACTTGTCATCCATCATACAAACAGTTTTTTTTTATAAATGTGCTTTTAAGGATACTGCATCTTTGAAAAAAAAATCTCAATTGAAACATGGCTACTTCAGTATTAATTTACTGGTGTAGATAATACACCAGTAATGAAGAATGTTAAACTACATTAATTTTTAGTTCTTGGAATCTCCTTTTTATGTGTTTAATTTTGGTCTATATTCAGCATAGTAAAGTATTGTGTTGTTCACCATATCTTAGTGGAACATTGGATATTAGAGAATACATTCTGTTTTAGGTGTGAATAAAGTGCAATGAAAATATACATGTTGCAAGGATGTAGTTGTAATGAACACCATGGATCAGTAGATGTATCCATGAAACATTGTATTAAAAGTAAATCATGACTTAGTAGACCACTTCTCTATTTCTGGACCATATAACAGTGGCTCAGTATCCATGAAACACTATTAAAAGTAAATCATGACTTAGTAGGCCACTTCTCTATTGCTGGACCATATAACAGTGGCTCAATATCCATGAAACATTGTATTAAAATTAAATCATGACTTAGTAGGCCACTTCTCTATTTCTGGACTATATAACAGTGGCTCAAAAGAGAATAAAGTTAGTACAATTTGTGTTTACTCTAGTTGGATTTAAATTTTGTGAATTTATTTTATTACACTTGAAGGAGAGGCTGACATGTACTTGTATGAGTTGGTAATTTCTTACATTTTGAGTGTTGTTGTCTAAGTTTTGTGGTCATCAGTTGGAGATTATTGTTGAAATTGCTTAAATGTTTTAAAAAATCAGATTGAACCTACGTATGAAGATATCTCAGACTTTGTTAATATATTTTGAAGTAGTCTAACACATGTACCATGATGTTCCTACCACAGGGTCTAATGAATTTCTTAGAATTTACCACTTGTTAATTATTCTGACATTATGTGATAGTGCGTGTGGCATACTTTTTAATAAAGTAATAATAGCAGTGGATTTTATACGATTATACCCTAACAGAAAATGTCTGTTTCACTGTAATAAGATACCATGTTTGATTATAAATTATTTTTGTTTTATAGTTTCTGATAATTTTATATCTTAGAATTTAGCTTCAAATACTATTGTATACATATAATTTTATCGTTGTTTTAAAGTTTGTGAAATGTATCTTCTAGTTAGAATAGCATAAAGCCTAACTTGACAGGTCATTTATCCCATACAGGCCACCATGAATGTAACTTCATGTGTATTGTCACACAAGTTAAAATAGCATAAAGCCTAACTTGACAGGTCATTTATCCCATATAGGCCACCATGAATGTAACTTCATGTGTATTGTCACACAAGTTAGAATAGCATAAAGCCTAACTTGACAGGTCATTTATCCCATATAGGCCACCATGAATGTAACTTCATGTGTATTGTCACACAAGTTAGAATAGCATAAAGCCTAACTTGACAGGTCATTTATCCCATATAGGCCACCCATCTCTTAATACCAAATTGTCAAAATAAAATTAAATGTACCCCTTCATATTCATGTCTTTACCCAACAAAATTTAAAGAAATTAAAATAGCTACACAAACCACAACATTAAACAAACTACTCCACAGGTTTTTTTTACAATCTTAATTACTCTTTCCAACATATCAAGATATTTCATATTGTAAAAGGACATAAGTGTACATAGTACTTCAAATTTTTTAACAGTGTATCTTGTGGTTAAGATGTATCTCCAATAACTACCATTGTATAAAACTAGTTATCACAGATGTTTTTAGAACAATGTTTTCTGTATGAGATGTTATCTCTGCTGGTACCATTGAGAACTATTACTGAACACCATTGGGTTAAAAATATTGTGCCTTCAGTCTAAGATGTACCTTTATTAGTACCATTGTCTTCTGTGTGCGATTTACATCTACTAGTACCATTAGATACAACTACTGGTTGTAAGAAACAAAAGGGAAGCTTATAAATGTAAAAGCTTCTAACCAGATTTTTTTTTACTTATTTTTCTATATGTACATGTGTTTATGCATTCATTTGCAGGACCCTGCTGGGATATTTGAACTGATTGAAGTTGTAGGGAATGGCACCTATGGTCAGGTGTACAAGGTGAGTGACCTTATCATCCTTGTCTTTTGAAGGTGAATAACCTCATCATCTTTGTATTTTGAAGGCGTGTGACCTCATCATTCTTGTGTTTTGGTGCTGACTTGCTTATTCGTAGGAACGTTTTTTTTTTTCGTTAAATTTGGATGCCTAATCTCCTTAGGGTCATAAAACGTTTGCAAGGAACAAGAGTTTCAAGGTGAAATTTCTTGCTTTTGAGGGGTGGTGGGTATAGCAACGCTGTATTAATTCACTCCTTTCTTTTAATTTCAACGAAACAGTATTACTCTTATGTCGTCTCTAGTATTGTGTGGTCGTGCTACATCGTGTAGAATAATTTGAGCTACAGTTTTTAAAATATTCCCTTCGTATTTCAACATCAATAAACACTTTCTAAGATAAAGGGGTTTGGCCATGAGAAATATCAAAATTTACAATTCCCCATGTTGATGCACCTGGAAACATAATTATTCTATCAGTTTACCTTATAAAATATTTTATAGTTTCTTCGGTTATTATAATCTATACCGTGAATAACCATAATACTCCCTCCACCCCTCAAGTTCGTGGTTCGACTAAGTAACAGTCTACCGTTCTGTCATTTGTTATACAGTATTTTTTTAAAGGAAATGTTAATACTTATGTTTAACGGACATTTCATTACTAAACATCTGCTACACGTATGATAATTAGAATAAAGATCTTCAACTTTGCAAAACAAAAACTGATAAACTTCTTAAGTGATTCTATAATGAGTCTAATGGTTACGTTTTGGTGAAATGTGAATTATTTTCCAATATTAGAGCAAATATTATAAACTAAAGAAACTTTAGGAATAAACGTCGTATAAAACAATGTATTCAAAAGCACAAAAAAATAAAACTATGAACTTTGTAAAGCCAAAGCCTACATATATCGTACATATTTTTTTTTTTTTTTTTACACATACTCAATATAGGTTTTTCAATGAATCGGAAATTATAATTATTCAGTTTGTCAGTTGTTGTTGTTGTTTTTGTATTATCATTAATCAAAGTATACTAATTTCAGTTTTATGACATATTCGTACGAAAGCTTATCAGCCTTGATGTGATAATGAAAAATGGTTTAAGATACCGCATTTATAAAATTATTTAAGTCATTTAACACAAAACACAAAAAAATATTATTTATTTCCCCGAAAGGGGGGCTGAAGGCCGACTGGAAGGGTCACCTGTTTTAACCATTCGCACCATTATACAGTAGTGGGTTGTCTGTCTGTAAGTTAGTCAGTCAGTAGAAACTAAAATGACGTCACATAAGGGACGCTTAACGTTGCAATTTCTACTGTCCTGACGTCA